TCATGTCAATATGTTTGGCTCTTAAGAACATAGAAGCTTACAAAGAAAACTAAAATAGTCATTGGTATAATTCACAATAGGTCAAGCAAGTCTACTTTGAAGTTCTTCTAACATAGCCTAAGACATGAAAAAAGGCCCTATTTTCTCTAGTACAATTCTAGACTGCCTATCAACTTTGGTATTCTAAGAGCCAAGAGCACCCACATGTGAAATAAGAAAGGGCTAAGATAGATGACCAGATGGCAAAGAAATACTGTGCTTGGTGAGGGAAAGTCATCCTGAAGGTCATTTCTGATTATAGTTCCTTGTGCAGCAACACTTCTACTTTGGGAATTAAATTTAGATAGGATACCTCCTAGGACTCTGCAACATATCTGGGGGTAAGGAATAAGATGAAGATGTGATAGTTGCAGAAGGCTGGGGATTCTGTTGGTCTTCTGGGCAAGACTTTGAAGCCAGCTAGCAAAATTTGAAATTTATGTCAATTTGTGCTATGATTTGTAAGCATAGTCCAGTAGAAATTGGTGATGCTTGGATCACACACAATGTATGCTTCAGTGGAAATTAAAACAACATTCTATTTTAAAATTCTATTTTAAAAATTCCATAAACCATCTAAATTGTGTGGGTCAGGATGGTGGATTGTTGACAGCATAATTTTATTCAAGGATAAAATTTTAAATGTCTAGAATTAATGGACTGTTTTTCCTTTAGGCAATTTTTTTATTAAACTTAATTTCAGATCATCCAAGCTAACAACTGAGGTCACATACATATGCTTTGGCAAACAGTTGATTTGCAGTTGGGATCAAAATCTTAGGAAAATAAGGTGCTTAATCAGGATTGCATTTCTAAATAGAGGGTCAGCCCATCTATGGTTCCAGATAGGATAAATCTCTGTCTATAGGTGTGGCTAAAATTTCTCTGAATATAACTCTGAAGCTGCTCAAATACTGGACAAAGAGGTCAATAAAAATCTCAGTGTTTGGGGGCTATACAGTATTACAGGAATATTTTAGTCTTGGAATGTCAAGAGTATTTTACACACAAATCACTTAACATTCTTCATACAGTATCCATAGGTTGCGAAATCTCAAGTAATGAAGCTGTCAGTCCACAAAAACAGATATATCAAAATATATCTTTATATATCTACATTATTTTACCTACTCTAATATCTATAAATATGAGCCAATTAAATGTTAGACAATAGCTTCCAGAAATAATCGTTTGGTTTAAAATTATTCTTTCTCACAATAATTAGTCAGCAAAGCAGTTTTTGAAACTACAACTATATTTGATAAATACAATCATATTGTCAGCATACGTTTTTCTATTCTCTGGAAAGAGATGCCGGAAAATGACAATTTCCCACCCAATCAAAAATATCCAATATGTAAGAATGATAGGCCTCAGCATGTTATGATACAATGACATGATACTGAAAAAAAAAATCAGATCCCACTATTTCTCATGAGTTTCCATTGAAGGAAATTGAATCAAAACCTTTCCAATTACACTGGAAACCCATGTATAATAAAATGATATTCGCCCCTCTCTCTCACCCTGCACAAAACTCAACTCAATTGGATCAAGAACCAATGCATTAGACCAGAGAGATCTTACACCTACTAGAATAAAAAGTAGGCCCAAATCTCCATCATGTCAATTTAGGAACAAAATTCCTCAGCAATACTCTAAAGCACAGGAAGAAAAATCAAGAATAAATAAATGAGATTTTATCAAACAAAAAAGCTTCTTCACAGCAAAGAGAAGACTCAAGAACACCAAGAGAGCGCCTATAGAATGGGAGAAAATCTTTGCCACCTGCACCTCAGATTAGAACATTAATTTCCAGGATATATAAAGAACTCAAAAACACCAAAACCCAAAAGAACCCAATCAATAAAAGGGCAAAGGAACTGAAGGGACACCTCACAGAATAAGAAACATGAATGGTCAAAAATATATGGAAAAAAATGTTCAACATCACTGGCAATTAGAGAAATGCAAATTAAAACTATACTGAGATATGACTTCACTCCTGTCAGAATGGCAATTATCAAGAGTACAAGCAATAAGCTGGACACAGTGGTACATGCCTATAATCCCAACAGCTTGGGAGGCTGAGGCAATAGGATCAGGAGTTCAAAGCCAGCCTTAGCAATGACGAGGTGCTAAGCAACTCTGTGAGACCCTGCCTCTAAACAAAATACAAAATTTGCCTGGGGATGTGGCATGGTGGTTGAATGCCCCTAAATTCACTCCCCAGTACCAAAAAAAAAAAAAAGTCACAATAAGTGTTGGTGAGCATGTGGGGATGGTACATTCCTACATTCCTTGTGGGACTAAAAATTGGTGCACTCTGGAAAGCAATACAGAGATTCCTCAGAAAATTTAGAATGGAACTACCATTTAACTCAGTTATCTCACTCTTCTCCATATACCCAAAGTCTTAAAACCAGCATACTATAATGACGTGTCCACTTCATTGTTCACAGCAGCTCAATTCACAATAGCTAAGCTATAGAACCAACCGAGGAGCCCTTCAACAGATGAATAGATAAAGAAAATGTGGTGCATATACACAATGGAATATTACTCAGCACCCCTCAAAAAGAATGTAATTATGACATTTGTAAATGGATGGAACTGGAGACTATCATGTTAAGTGAAATAAGCCAATCCCAAAACAAAAATGCTGCATGTTCTCTCTGATATGTGGATGCTTACTCAAATAGGTGTGGCAAGAGGCAAGAAGTGGAGTTTCACAGTTTTGGACAGAAGGGAATGGGGAGGGAGGTGTAAATGGGAAAGAGAGTAGAATGGATGAGACATAACTTCCCTATGTTCATATATGAATGCATGACCAGTGTAACTTCACATTTTGTACAACCACAAGAATGGGAAGTTATAATCCATGTATATATCATATGTCAAAATGCATTCTACTGGCATGTATAACTAAAAATAACAAAATATAAAAAAATTAAAAGCCTCTCAAATTAAATTGATAGATCTGTTGGAGGATAAATGATCCAAAAACACATGGAAAATATTTCAGCCACTCTCAATAAGACTTCACCCAACTAACCAATTCCCAACTAACCAAAAAAAAATCCTCCTTTGCATGATAGAGAAATATAGATTAAGTAAAAGCCATTAGAAAAATCAAGACATATACACATATCAACATAGGTCTCAAACAGTCCCACAGTAGTGATAAAAATATACAGGTAAACTTAAACAATCTGTCAGGAAATCAAACAAGCCCTGGAGATACATGTTCCTTTCATATATGACAAGTAGCTACTTGAGTGGGTTTAGGATACATCTAAGTAGACAATCTTCCTTTATCTATGTTAAGTAATAAATAGATTTTAAACTCAAATATGAAAGAAAGAATGAGGAATGAGTTACCATTTATTATGAAAACAGTAGAAAGCTGATTTACCAGAATATTTCTTCTGTTTTGGACATTTTCCAGACATGCTCCAGATGAAAAATCTTGGTAACTGGGGAGAGAGTCCAGTAAATTTACTAGCTCTAGGGGAATCCAAACATTGGCATGCTTGCATGGTGTGCCATCTGCTAAAATGCTACAGCTATCTGAGAAGTGCACTATCAAATATAGGACTATTAGCTGCATGTGATTATTGAGCAGTTGAAATTTAGCTAGTAAAAATGGGAAGGTAGTTGCAGTAGTGCACTCCTCTAACCTCAGCGGCTCAGGAGGCTGACAGGAGGATCGCAAATTCAAGTCAGCCTCAGCAATTTAGCAAGACTATAAGCAACTCAGTGAGACCATGTCTCAAAAATAAAATATGAAAAAGGGTTGGAGATGTGGCTCACTAATTAAGTGCCCCTGAGTTCAATACCAAAAAAAAAAAAAAAAAAAACCCACAAAAAAAATCGAAGTTTAATTAAGTTCAATTTTAATTGATTTTATTTTAAATATGCACTGGTGTTGAAAACTATGGTGATACTATGGTGGACAGGGCATATACGGTGGATAACACAAGAGATTATCTTTTTAAAAAAATATTTCTATTAGATATTGATGAACCTTTATTTATTTGTTTGCTTATATGTGGTGCTGAGAATCGAACCCAGTGCCTCACACATGCTAGGCAAGCACTCCACCATTGAGCCACAACTGCAGCCCACAAGAGATTATCTTTATAACCTGTGGCAAACAAGTTTTCTTAGAAAAATAAATGAAATAATGCCATCCTTAAACAAAACATGTTTCCTTGGACTACATTTCAACTAAGAACACTGTTCAACAACAACAACAAAACTCTACTAAGAGAATGTGAAAGCAAAGCCCAAAGTGTGGGGAGATATTTGCAATATATACACAAAACAAAAGCCTCATATTGGCAATAAAGAAAAGCTCCTGTGACTGAACAGGTGAAAGATAGGCAAACATTAGAAAAACTGGCAAGTGACAAGAGCAGGGACTTCAGAAAAGATATCAAAGTAAACAATAAAGACAGGAAAATACAGTGCACTTATTATTTGTCAGGTTTATATAAATATAAAATAAATGTGTCACTATGACCCCACCAAGGGTCTGTAAAAAGAGACTGACAGAACCAAGTGTTGGTGAAGATGTGGAACAATGAGAACTCTTACATGGTAGGAATGCAAATTGGTACAATGATTATGTAAACCATTGGGCATTATATGCACATGATGAAAATACTCATTTCGTATGGCTCTAAAATGCCAGCCCTAGGATCTGATCAAACAGAAAGGCAAAGGCAAGTATAATTCATAATAGCCCTGCAACCCCAAACTTATATTGCAAATATAGAAAATATATAACAGATCTATACAATAAAATGCCACATGTACATTGTATGAACGAAATGTTGTACTCTTATAACAAAATAAATAAATACAAAGAAAATTTATAACATTTATCAAGAACCTTAAAATGTGTCCTACTTCTGAAGGCCCCTCTGTCAGTTACCTTTTCCTCTATGACACAATACCTGAGATAAACTGATGATGATGAAAGACTTGTTTTGGCTCACAGGTTTCAGTCCATACACGGTCACTTGGTCCAATTTCTTTGGACCTGTGGTGGTACAGCACATCATGGTGGTGGAAGTGGGTGGCAGAGGAAGACTGTCCACCTGGTGGAAGCCAGGAAGCAAAGAGAGAAGAGGAGTTAAGCCCCAGTACTCCCTTCAGGGGCATTCCCCCAAAGAACTCACTTTCTTCTACCTGGCCCCACTCCTAACTATTCTACCACCTCCCACCTCATCCTCACCAGCAGCTAGCAATCAAGCCTTCCACCCATGAACCTTTGGGGGACATTTAAGATCCAAATCATAATGGTACCAATTCTGTGTATAGAAATTTATCCTAAGTGGGTATGAATAAATAGATTATTTACAAGGATATTGGTTAGAGTGGCATTTGCAACAAAGGAAAACTAGAAAGAAAAACTAAAAATTGTATAAATTATCTACTGCTACATGAATAAAAACTAAGCAGTTGGCAGAAATTCCTACAACTTAAAAACATTTTTAAAAATTACAAATTCCTTAGTGACATTTAGGGGTGTCATAAAAATTAAGACAAAACTGTGTGCCATAATTATGATCCTAACCAAAACTATTACTGGAAAAATGCTATAGAAAAAACTTTTAACAGTGCATACTTCCATTTAGAGTCACATTTAAGGTGATTTTATTTTGCATGTCATGTTTTTCTATTCTTTTCAAATTTGGCCAACAAAAATTGATCAATCATTAAAGGAAACTGATGATTTAAACACAAATATGACTAGAGGTTAATGCTATTTAAATATAAAAGTTAGGAAGGGAAAATGAATATATAAAAAACACTTCATAATTTTTAGAAAAACTTCCTAAGTCTTAAAATGTTTATTCTGCAAAAAGATTGAAGATGAGCCATGCATGGTGGCACATGCCTATAATCCCAGCAGCTTGGGAGGCTGAGATAGGAGGATTGAGAGTTCCAAAGCCAGCCTCAGCAACTTAGCAAGGTATTAAGCAACTCAGTGAGACCCTGTCTCTAAATAAAACACAAAGTAGGGCTGGGGATGTGGCTCAGTGGTCAAGTGCCCCTGAGTTCAATCCCTAGTACCCCCCAAAAAAAGAAAGAAAGAAAAGAGAAGAGAAGAAAAGAAAAGAAAAAAGATTGACAATGGGAAGAAAGAACTAGAATTTAAAAGAAAATCATTCAAGACAGCAAAATCAAGAATACTAAAGGCTCCATAATGACTCCTTTATCCACAGATGGAATATGATAAGCTGAACTCCTGGGTAGTATGCAAACTAGGAGCAAGAGCTGTCACTGGCCCTGCTGCCTTTCAACTTGAGCTATTTATGGTAGGATTGGCTCATTTGCCTCTCTAGGCTTGCCTCAGAGTTTAATGTTAGACATCCATGGGTTTCTTTCCTCAGAAACCCAAGATCAGTTGTAAAGTTAGAGACTCTTCAATATCCTCTTGATTTTTGGTATTGAGATGGTCTTTCTTTTCAGTTCTCCGAAACATAAGAAAGGAAAATCAATATTTAAGATAGAAAGTATGAAAATATTTGCAAGCAAATACTACTTTAACCAAATAGTAATAAATAGATGGAACAAAAGGATCTTTCTCACAAATGATATTTCATTTTTGTTTGGGGGTTGTATTTTTAGGGGAGCAAGAATTCATGGAATTAAATCAACAAATTTTACAGAATACTTGGTACCTGATCTTAAAAACTGCCTTTAAACTATATCATTGATTTTAGGAAAGAATTTAAATAAAAAGTCATGGTAGGTATAGTTCATTCTACACTGTCAACCCTGTTTCAACTATGTGCATTCAATATTACATGGTTATATTTGGAATAAATTTCTTAAACTATAGACCTGAGAAATACAAATTAATCAAGGTGATATAGTTTCTTCCTAACCAAATTATACGTTGTATAATTTTGCTAAGAGATGGGATCTTCTGTCAGAAAAGCCAACCTGAAAAATTACAAATAGTTAATATGTAAATGCTAAAATAATTATGCTTTCTCTTTTTCCCAAACCTTTTTAGTTTGATAAATAAATTTTTAATTCTCATTATAATTTTGTTAAAAAAAATTATCAAAACATGCCAATGTGTACATATGTAGTTAAGTTGCCATATTGATTCAGAAGAAAAACCACTTTTTTTTAGTATTTATTTTTTAGTCGTAGTTGAACTCAATAACTTTATCTTATCTATTTATTTTTATATGGTACTTAGGATAGAACCCAGGGCCTCACACTTGGTAGGCAAGCACTCTACTGATAAGCCACAACCCAGCCCCACCACTTTTTAATCCTTTATTGTAAGATTTGTTTGTTAAATGAATCTTTCAGAAGAAAATAATCACAAATTCAAGAATAGCAATACTTGAGTGTGGTACATGCCTATTTTCCCAACAACTCAGGAGACTGAGGCAGGGGTATCAAGAGTTTGAGGCCAGACTGAAAAGTTAGTAAAGACCATGTCTCAATATAAAAATGTTTTAAAATGTCTGGGAAAGTAGCTCAAAGGTAGAGCTCCTCTGGGTTCGTCCCCTAGTACCACACACATATACATGTTCTCACACACAAATGCATCGTGTGCCTTTTTGAGACTTATATTGTACAAAAACAAAATAAATTTTAAAATTACTTAACCAGTGACTAAGGAAGGACTGTTTAATGGGGTAAATACTGACAGTCTATTTTTCTTACATTAACAATTAGATAAAGAGAATGTATTATCAACAGAAGCTGAGAATAGAAAAATAGGGGTTACAATCCCACATCTGTCACCAAAAATGTATGAAAACAACTTACAATTACTGTTTGAAAAGGAAAGCAACTTTTGTTTTCTTTCTAAAGCATAGAACATTTCCTAGAATAAAGCTGAAAATTTTTCTACAAATAAATATGAAAATAAAGTAATAGATAATTTTTTTATAAATAACCCTTCTCATAAATGTTATAAAATTAAAAGTTTAGAAATTCTGTTCAATTCCTTCATCCACGTCTGCACTACCTTCAGTAAAACGTTAAAGGTTTGGAATGATTTACATCTTATATTCTCAGGTGTGAGTTAGGATAACAGGCTAGGCTGCATTATGAGATATTGAGTTGCTTTTTTCTGGGGAAGGGCTGGGGATGTGGCTCAAGCGGTAATGCGCTGGCCTGGCATGCGCGGGGCGCTGGGTTCGATCCTCAGCACCACATACAAATAAAATAAAGATGTTGTGTCCACCGAAAACTAAAAAATATATATTAAAAAATTCTCTCTCTCTCTCTTTAAAAAAAAGAATATTCTGGGGGAAAAACTGAAACTTACATTGGTTTGCCAAAATTGGTTGTAAATTGTACACACTTGAAAGATGTCACAAATGAAAGCAAATTGATTGATATAGTATATGACTTCTTTGTCATAGTGGGATTGTGTCTCTAATGGAACTTTTGATAGAGGGATGACAGTGGCCTCTCTGTGTATACCAAACCCTTGTTTATGGAGTCTTAAGTCTAAAGTCTCTAAAATTCTGAGTTCTGCAGTAGAGCTCTGGGTGATGCTGGTAAGAAGATGTAGGGAAAATTTCCAATTTTAACAAGATCCACATGATTGTTCTTATTCCCTAGGTTGCATACCAAAAAGTACACAAGAACTTGAAAAATAATTTTTATTCATTGCAGTTACAAATAATAGCTTCATACACTGTCTCTGTTGATGTTTGTTACTCAAGCTCCTTATAATCTACTGAAACCCCCTGTCAGGGTTGTGTGTTTATTAGAAGGTAAAGGGTTGTATAGTGACTGTACTGGTTTCCTAGTACTGTCATAGCAAAGTACCACAAACTGGGTGCCTTAAAACAACAGGAATTCATTGCCTCACACTTCAGGAGGATAGTAGTCAGATATCATGATTCCTCTGAAACCTGCAGAGATATCTTTTCCTGCTTCTTCCTAGTTTTTAGTGTTTGTTGATGATCTCTGGAATTCTGATAACAGCATTAGTCATATTGCAGTAAAGGTCTGCCCTGTTCCTGTGCAACATCATCTTAACTAATTTTATGGACAGTGATCTTATTTTCAAATAAGGTCACATTCTGAATCATTTACTAGGAGTTATGTCCCTCAAAAGCTCATGTGGAAGACAAAGCAAGAATTCTCAAATGTGAAATGATAAGGTTATAAGAGCCTTAACCTAATTAGTGGATTGATCCACTGATAGCTATAAACTGGGTGATAACTATAGGCATGTTAAGATGTAGCTGGAGGAGGTAAGTAACTGGAGGTGTGTTGTTGGGGTATACATTTTGTCCCTGGGGAACAGAGCTTTCTCTCTGCTTCCCTGTTGCCACATCCACATATGATTTCCTCCATCAATCCCTTCCATGATGATCTTCTGCCTCACCTCAAGCCCAGAACTATGGAGTCAACTGACCATAGACTGAATCTCTGAAAACATGGTCCAAAATAAACTTTTCCTCCTCTGCGTTGTTTTTTTCAGCTCCTTTGGTCACAGCAATGAAAGAGCTGACAAAGACATATCCTTTTGGAGGTACAGAATTTAACACATAACAGTAATAATATGATTCATTGACTAAGTCAGAAATCTTTCAGAGGATTCTTATGTGGCTGGATATTTCACAACATATTACAGGAATAAATTTAAGTCTCCAGTTCTTCACAAGAAACATCTATAAGACAAACATTCTTATCTATATTGTCTCAGCATTCACTATTATGCTAAAGGAAACAGGGAATGGTACTCTCACCCATGTATTGCATATGATTCTGCTTAATTTGTAAGAATAACCTTATATGGTTGTTAATATTATTTCAATTTATATATAAGAAAAAGTGAGAGGCTGAATAAGTCACTTAAGACACTAAAACTAGAATGTATCAGGACTTGGACTTTCAAGTTGCAAAGGCCTGTATTTAATTCTCTGTACTAACGTTGTATAGTTGGTCAAATTATCTAGATTTACATAGAAGAGAAATGAAAGTTTAAATAAATTACTCAAAGTACCATAACTTGAATGCAGCAGGGTGTGGATCAAGACATCCAGGTCTGTCAAGTTGCAAAGGCTCCTTCCTCTTTCCATGGAACCATTTTTGTTGAAATACT